CCCCCCCCCCCCCCCCCCCCCCACTATGTACTATTTCCAATTTAAGTTAGATCTGATGTGAACACCCCCACTCACCCATTGTGTTGCCTGAGATCTCCCTGGGGCTGGCCCTCTTCCATGGTTTCTACCAAGGTCTTCCTCTCCTCATCTGGGGTGAAGAGACTGCTGAGTGCATGGGGTACAATACTGCTGGAACTGCCACTGATGCTGCTACCTTCGTCACTCGAGGTCTTCTTCCTGCAATTAGAATCCATACAGATTACTGGAAGAAAGCTCAGAACAGTCCTTTATATGGCAAGCCACTGACTTTTTATTGTTAAAACATTGACACCACTATACTAGTACCTTCATCACTTAAAATATTTTTCCTGTAATTATAAGAAATATATAGTGATGAGGAAAACGCTGAGGATGGTTCACAAAATGCTGACATTTTTATGTTAAAACATTGACGCTGCTACCTCCGTCACCTGAAGTCTTTTCCTGCAATTATGAAAAATCTATACTGATGAGGAAAAAGCACAGAACAGATCTGTAAGTGAGAAAAAGTTGCTAGCACTACCACCATTGTTACTGCCTTTGCCACTTTGTATCTGCTTCCTGAAATTATATCAAGGAAGAAAACAAGAGATCGGCCATCAAAATGGGACAAGGTTACTGAATTATGTTCACTTGAAACATTTGTTTGTACCACTCAAACTATTTATTTTACCTGTTTTTATCTTAAAAGATACCATCATTATCATATTACATTAAGAATTCATTCACAACAATGTAAAGCTGCAAAAAAAAAAAAAAGTTCAAAATAAACTTTATTCAATCAATAAAGAATCCCCCAAATATCTGAAAATCTCAGACTACAAAAACAAATTCAGGAATTTTTTCCAAAGGGGAAATGATATGAAAGATGAAAGGAAATTGCTCACCACCTGTTCATTAAAATAGGCAATGTATTGTCTATAAAAGAGGCGTATTCCATTGCTCATCCTGACATTGAAAACATCCAGCTGACAGGAAATACACAAAGATCTTGTATGAAGAAAACAAATTACGTTGAACCATAATGTGCAAACCACTGTAGGCAGTTATCTGTCCTTCCTTTTATTACAGTTGTTATTCTCTGATACCTATTTTAGCCCAATCCACTGGACTCTGTGATGTTTCAGATTTTTTCCCCTGGGGGGGGGGGGGGGGGGGGGGGGGGAACCTAGGAGCTCCTAGCTCTTAGCTTTGGGGTATAAACATAGGGTATGTCATATGGTAACTCCACCAATTGTCAAATTCAGTGAAAAAAAATCAATCAATACTTCTTTCAACCACTGGCTAACCATAACATTTTTTGTTTTGGATTTACAAATATGCAACTGTATTCACCACAACACCACAGAATTGTCAGATCAATACTTGTGTGGTGCATCAGTTCTTTAATAATATGAACTCCAACCTCATTGCTCATTTATGTGTAATCTCTTTCCTTGCAGGACTCCTGGGTCGATTAACTTTGATTGCAATCACAGCTTATTAACTGAAATTGCCCTTGCTAGCAAATATAAAGGAAAAAACAGAGGCTGCTTTTGGCTTGAAATATAGCTGTGCACTTGCTTTAAGCCTCATTAACTTTTCACTTTCTAACCCCCATGGAGAAATGTATTTCAATACTTCCTTGTTGAGAAACACTCGTTCCCATTTCCTACAAACACAGAATTTATAGGACATGGACAATAAAATAAATACACAGCATTCAGAATTATAAAGCAACTCATGAAAGAGGGATCAGGGCTGACAAGATTACTTCTTTAAAAAATCACAATACTCCTTTCCTAGAGAAATCATTTTTATAATGGAATCACATGGAGGATGGTACTAGTACATGATAACAAAGTTGATATGGCTCAGCACCATCAACTTGGTAAAACAGTGAGAAATAATATTTCAAGCACCTGAACAGGGACTACGTAAAATAAATAGAAACCCTGAAAGTATTGTAGGCCTTGCCAAGGTATTGCAGGCTAAAATATTTTTCCTAATTTGACTATTTTTCATAATTAATTTTGACATTGAGGCCTCATATATAACTGTATTTTTGTTCTGATTTACCAAAAATCATCGAAAGACCCTGTAAATATTTTAGAAAACTTTCTGTAAGCCTAGTGATTGTTTGAAAGTTTTGATCATTTCAGATTGGTGAGGCAAAATTATCAATGGCCAATTTCCCTCATTAAATGCCTAAATTTCATCAAAACTTGTTACTGTCGACCTGGCTTCATTCTTGCTTGGTACTGGACTTAAAACTGGCAAAATTTTGCCATGAATCTTTTATCATTTGTGCTAGTAATTCAGTATCGGAGGCATATCTTAGGATAACTAATAGATACATTGGATCAACATAACTACTAATCAAATGAACTAAATTTGCTATATCTTTGAGTTCAGCCAAATAACTTCTGTATATTCCCATGTGACAACATCACCCAACACAGTTCATAAGATAACAACATCAACTGAGCACATGAACTGAGAGGTCATGACCTCAGCTGACCCCTCAGAGGTCATGTATCACCTGATGTACACTTCTCTCTCTCTCTCTCTCTCTCTCTCTCTCTCTCTCTCCCCTCCCCCCTCTCTTTATCTCTTCTCATATAGCAACCACAAATCTATTTCAACAACAATTCTATAACCTTCATCATCGTCACCATAATATTCCCTTTTTTTCTCTTCCATAAACAAAATCCTGAATATTATAAGCTTTGTTGATGCAACTTATATATGGCAAAAAATCTAGAGCAAATTTTGATTCAGAGCAGACCTTTGCCTATGAGAAGAGTAGTTTTTTCACCCCCCCCCCCTTTCCATTGGACCTGACCATCAGCATGCCATCAGAAGCAACAGCAGCATACTAAAGGTATATTTCAAAATCTGGCTCTTCAGCATTTCATACTCATCCTCAGCTATTGAGACAAGACTTAATACCAGTCATCAAATAATTGACATGTCAACTTCACTAACATACATGTCACTGAGCCACATGCAACTCAAATTTTTTCCAGGGATTTTCATTTCACTCTTTTCTATCATATCATACTAGTACATCTAATTTTTTTAAACTAAGCTGACTGGTTATTAGCAAGCTAATACTGTTAACTGTTCTATAAATGCCTGCAGTGAAGTTTCTGGCCTAAAATGGCCATCACTTGATCATAATGCGTTGACATCATGTGTGTACCCTACTCACCTCCGGTACATTTGACAAAAACAATTAACTTCATAGTGTCCTTAAAACAAAAGTGAGCTATGATTCTTTGATGACCAAGAGGAATTAGGATATGAAGAGACACTCACCCTGTCTTTCCATCTGTCTTGCCGATTTTTAAACTAAATCCTAATACCATGATTTAAATGTCTTCACAGTGTTTTCTGTGCAAAGCTGTGACTTCAGTCATGTCAACCATTTAAGTGAGTTAATCGGTATCTTTGTTGACTTTACACAGCTAGATGAGTTATAAAGGCCAATCTAAACCCAATGACTAAAGATTCTTGACATGAAACAGGGCAAAGAACTCTAGAATCTATAGTGGAGCTCATCCAAGTGACGAATGTATTTATCTATTGATTTCTCTAAAAATATCCCAATTCTGATAATGCAACATATGTGATATTCTAACAAAATCTGCCTGGTAAATTCTCCAAATGTTGTACACCCTACTGTACATGGCAGTAGTGTGACACTCTGGGCACAGAACTGTTTACTAGTATTTATTATCATCATTATTATTACTATTTTTATTATGTGCCCAATTCTCATCAAAATGGTCTTGGAAAGAAAGTATGTAAATTAATACTAAATATAGGATAAGGGCTAAATATAGGCCTTAATATAGGATGATGAGCCTGTTAAAGCACTTGCTACCATGTTTGAGATGAGATGAAGAATTGCTACTAAAGTAAATAATTATATATAAATATATATATGAAAAAGAAAAGAATAAAAAGAAGTATAACATGAGAACATTTTACACATTCTTTCCAAAATTCCTTCTTTACAGCTCAATACTTCTAAGGTACATGATGGGATTAAGATTTAGTAAGTTTGATTATAAAGATTCAGATGATATAGTTCCATCATATTGAGCAAATCATTGATAAAACATTAACTGAACCATAAAACTGATTTGAGATGAAGACTGTTTTCAATGGTAGTTCAGGTAAAAGAATGTAAAAACCTAAGAACACACTCTAAACTAGAGCACACTCAATATCTCACACCATTACCAATCTCACGTCACTACAGAGTTAAATTAATAAATTAATAAATAAACAGACACTAAAACACTTTTGAACATAATTGCAAGAGTATAATAAGAATATAATCTCCTATATAATAATAGCTAATAACACCACAGAGAGACATAAATAAAACCTTGCAAGCTTAATTTTTTCTTTTTTGCACCCTCCTCCATCTTCAGCGTTGTCAGAAATAAGCAGAAGAGCACTCAACCAGAAAAACCAATGGCCAAACCTAGGCACAGCATACTGTAACATCTATAGATCTAAAACTCTTCACATCGGAACTTACCGTAATTTATCAAACAGTCCTCCAATCTCCGTGACAGTGCTATTGAGGCCCTCCAGAGCACTGGCACTCGTTGACTTAATAAATGCCATCCTCAGGTATTTACGTACGGGTTCACCTTTGGTTGACCGTATCACCTGTTAAATTCCTCTTTTTGGATACCAAATGTCTAGTTTCCTAAAGTGATTCCTGTGTTATGGGTAATATCAAGGTCCTGTTTATCTTTGATTGCATGTAGTCCTCTTTTTACCTCCAAATGTCTGGTTTCCCATCAAATGATATGTTGGGTAACAGTTATGTCTTGTCTTGGTTCACATATCAAAACTGATAGCATGATAATCAACTGGTACTATTTTAAGCAGCAAATGTATCAGTACTTCATTCTACAAACTGAATGACGGTGACACTCGGGTTGACAAGTTTCTGTCACAGCAAACAATAGTAAAGTTTATCATTTCTTCATCATTTCTTCAGTTATGATCCAAATCTGCTCCCAAAGCCTTCACATCTGTATGTGCAGAACTGCGTGTAAGACAAATAAATATAGCAATTTTCTTAACTTCAATGTTTTGTGTACTGGATATCAAATGTCATCCATAGTTCAACTGTGGACCCAGAGACAGGCTACGTTATCTAATAAGATCACTGTTTTGGTCTGTCGATAGGGATCCTGTCGGTAATGTATGCCAGGACATAAGAAACTTTTAACTTTATTCTCACCTCCCACATTGACAGGTACAATGAAATTACATCAGTGTCAATAAATAACAAAGGCAGACAGGTCACTTCTGTCCAAACTGTATGGTCATCAGTGGTCAAATTGTAGTGGTGATGGTCATGAGCTGGTCAGTTGAACAACAATTGTGCCTGGCATTCTGTTCTCTAAGGGCATGCATGCATGAACCAAGGGGAAAAAATACAAGTTTCCTAAAACAACATTCCTATGGAAAACCATTTCCATCATCAATCATCGCCACACCAACATCATCACCTTTTAAGTACTGAACAGCTAAACTCTGCTGGCTTAAAATTTTCAAGTGCTGAAAAAAAATCATTACATACTATGACACAGAAGAAAATGTTGCATAACACACACATGTACACCTGTTGAAATACAAAAACAGTTCATGCCATTTTCCATCCATGGGTCTTCCTCAATTTCACATCTGATTACACAAACACTTAACTATTTCTCCGTGTACGCATTCTCACATTCTCACACGCAGACTTGCATTTCTTTAGCAGCTATATCACTTTCGTACTGTTTTCTGGACTGTGAGATAATGACAAAGTTTTTAAAATACAACAATGTCAAAACATATTGTCAAGACCATAAGATGTCATGTTTTATATATATCTAAATGTACTTTTCACTAATAAATTGTTAGCATAATGCTACATAGAGGTTTCTCTTTGAGCATACTTTGAGTATTAAAAATACTGGGAAAATCAACAATTTAGCAGGCACATTGACAATATTAGACAAGATCTCCATTGTCCTTTGAAGATTTACATCAGGCATTCTGCCGTTTCAAATTTTGGGTACTCTCCATGCTCTCTCATGAATAATAGCGACCCTCACATGTGTATATTATATATATATATAACAGTAAATACAAAATTACCAAGAAACACTTCCTACCTCTTCATTTTACTCGCTTGTTAGTAAGCTTAACACTTGCTGACATAAAAAAGTCTATATAATCATCTATATCCAGTCTTTCTCCAGGAAGTATTTACTGCAGTTAGCCATCATAGTCAACAACTGTTAATGAAATTAAATATTTACCCTTATTCGCAAGCTGCAGAACTCTATTACATTACCTGGTACCAAAACAAATCCAACTTGCCACTATGCATAATATTAACCTAAAAGATTTTCTCCTGAGAAAACACATTTTCCCATACTGCTATAAAAAATGAAATCCATTAGAAGCATCAAGCAAGTTCCCAGATGATTCTGAAGTGATCTGTTTTGATGAAAACTGCATTCATCATACAAGGGCTCCATTAGATTCCAAAGCAGTCACGGTAATCTGTATGAAACAAAAAATCTCTATGGTTTGTTTACATGGGAAATAAATAAAGAAAGAAAAAAGTGGTCTGCATCATCTGATGCATACAGTACCTTGATTGTGCAAAACAGTTCTGGAACTTGAAACTCACTAAGAAAAGGTTAATTAACAGTTCTCAGTTTATTTAATATAAATTTCCTTTATATGTGCCAGGCACTTTTACAAGTGGAAATGGTAGTATATATGACATTCCTGGAAGAACAAGGGACTTATTATTGTATGGCCTTATGAGGAGGTGATGAAAGAGAGAGAGAGAGAGAGAGAGAGGGCGGGGCCGGGGGGGGGGGGGGGTACTGTGACAGTCTTGACTGGGGTTCTCCATAAGGCATTAGAATATGTTTCCAGTCAATTTGCATACCAAGTTGGGTTATCACATCTCAACTGGAAACACGCCTTAATGTGGAGACACCTTTTGGATGGCAAAATGTGCAGCTGACCTCAGATATTACCAGGAAAGCTGTTGTAGCAGCCTGCGGTTACCTCAAAAAACACATGACCTGCCTAATTACTGTTTTGTTGCAATAAATTTCTCGTGTCTCTTGTTTTTAGTGCTGCACCCATCAACAAAGTGCATCGAGTCAGAGACATAGAGGTAGTTTATACCAGAGAGGTTAAAAATTATCTTTGCCATTAATATAACATTAACAGCTGAAAAATTATAGTAAGTTTGTCCCATTTCTTGCACTTTGAACAAAAGGATAATGCTGTATTATTGTGCTTACAGAATGTGTATACAGTAAGCTTGCCTCTGTTTAATATACCAGTATATACCCTTCATTGTGTTCCATACCCCTCCTCCCCCTCTTGTATACAAAATATTCTACCATTACTTCAACTTGGAAAATATCACACGTGCAGTGACCTACTGTTGTTTCAGCACCACAATAACCAATTCCACAAGTCTGCTTAATAATAAAAGAAACTCTTTGGGACAAAGCATTTCCACACCTGATAAATAAATAATGTTGTGCTCAGGTAATATAATAGCTATTTCCATGTAATGTTTGGTCCTACAGCAATAATTTATCATCAATATAATGTATATATATTCTTAATCCTGAGAGGGGCATATCATCAATAAGCCAAGACAAAATATCTTGTTCAACTTAAAGTATAATTCATAGCAGAATAATTTTTTTGATGAAGTGCTGATTATTATGACATATTTTGAGTTACTAATTGGAATAAAAGCCATTGTCTTTTGACTGTGGAAAACCCTATACTATAAAGACTCATATATATTCTCAAGTCTCATTATCACTCTATAGGTGATAATTATCCCTTGGTTCCTACCAATCATTATATAAATACTGCAAACTGAGGTTCATTGATTACCAATGAAGAAAAAAAATGATTAAAGCTCAACCTGTCCTGGTAAGGCCCATAGTACAGCCCTGTTTGAGAGTAAAGAAATACTAGTACTTGAAGTGCTGACAACTGGCCAATCATTGAACATGCATTCTGCAACCAAAGTGATGCTTGTGCCTCCTTTCTACGACCACAGAGATGCCAGTTTCATGGTCGCTCAGAGAACGCAGAAAGGACGCCATCCAGTTGAAAGGGGACTTGTAATTTTTACTGAAATTAACTGCTCCCTCTCTTTGATATTGCTGAATGTCATCACATTTGAAATCAAAATACAAATGACAATGTTCTGCAAATTCATGAAACCTCAGTCTTACTGACAAACTGACACCATTGAGCTACTAGTACAAATTCATGGTTTCATTTTCACGTAAAGATTTATGTAACAGTATCCACCAGTACACTGTACTACAGTGTACTTTACAGTGCTGCACTGTATTAGTATATATATAGTTAAATGTTCCAGTGACTTACCAACATAAATTTCCTTCAAGTTCTACTGCCAAAATTTTCTCCTGTCTCTGACCCATTGTTTCTCCATATACTACCAGAACAATTCACTAAGTAAACCACTCATACCAACACACCTTTTCTTTCTAACAGGAACATACAAGGAAGTTAAATCATCTTGAAGTTAATTCAGTTCAGGTAAGCTGCCTTTGTGATAAGAAGCCCCAGGCAATTTTTCTTTTTTCCTCCTTTTCGTATTGACACGCTATGAAAAGAACGAAATAACACAAAAAAAATAAGTTGATAATAAAATATAATCGGCTGTATAATAACAACCTGCAACATGTTCACAATGGTAATTACAAAAACCAAAAAGAAGTTCTATTTTAATGTTTCATAAATCATACATGCACAACTCCCTTTCTTGGAAAGTATAAAATAAGAAACCTAACAGCCCTACATTACCACAAGGACAATTCTGCATCAGAAATGGGCCAACAAAGATGCTATGTTCCACCCTGCAAACAGTGTGTGTGTGTGTGTGTGTGTGTGTGTGTGTGTGTTATATCTTTCATGTTTCAGTGTAATAAGCCCTTCTGAGTACAGTTTATGATGTGTTTTACGATGAAGCAACTCAAGCAGCACTTCCCAAAACCATACATATATTGACATCACGTACCCAGGGCGAGATCTTTCTAGGAACTAAAACTAATTTTTGAAACAGGTTTGTCTAAATTAATGGTTATTAAGAAAGAATTGTGCATCATATGTGGTAGTTTGTCAGTCACTCAATGTATATTACACTGAAACTAGCTGGTGAGTGCTTATAATAAGAAACCTGTTACTTTTCAAGGAAAACATTTTATCTTTCTTGATATACCAACAAGCAAGAAGAAATCCCAGAAAGCATTTTCAGCCTCTGTTTCTTGTGTATTTCTGCACTTTTGAGACACTAAGTTTACGTTACACCACACGTGACTTTTTCCTTCACCTCGATGAAAAGTTTCTGTACAAAACCTTCAAAGTTCCCCTCTAGCTTGCTCAAGTTCACAAAACAAGCCTCCTTTCTGGGGAATTCTTAGAAAATTCCAAGAACCAGTGAGTGCACTTACCAAATAACTCAATAACAAGTACCTTGAGAGCCCTGTAAATTTAATACTACCGGTGCTTACTCATCAATATTATAAGGTGAAGATTTTAGATGAGATAATCAATGAAAAAATGTTTTAAATTCACCATTAAGCTCCCTTGTCCAATAAAGTAACTAACAATAAACAGAGCCAATCAATATCCCATTGGATCAGATCTCAATGTTTCTCTCTGAATCTACATTAATTGGCAAGAAAACAAATGGCAGAAAGGATTTAGTGGGTTTATAGAAACTTGCACAAAGTGCAGAAAGTTTTTATGTAGGATAAAAAAAATTGAATAAACAGTATCAAAAAGTCCCATTTAGCATTGCCAAAATACTGTAGCTTAGATAGCTTCTGTTTCCTGTTTGGCAATACAAATCTTTGCACATGGGTCAACATATGCATGCACGCACTTTCATCTACATGTACACATCTGCACATCGAATATTCAGCCTACATTCAGATTGAATTCCACTACGTGCATAGAACTTCTCTAGCTGTGTCAGAACTAACTCCACCAAACCTTATTATCACACTCTTCCTTTAAGATCCATGACAGAAATGTCACATATATATATCCTGTGTTGGAAATTGTTCTGTTATCAAATGTTCAGTGTATAAATTCACTTTGTGATACAATACTGAAGGGCTAATATGTGTCATCAAAATCCATAAAAATCCACTGCTGATTAAAAATCACCCACCAAGTGCAGCCTGTGGTACGATTCACAATGAAAAAGTTGTCAAATAATTTCCACTGTTACAGCAGGTTTTCAAAGTCTTAATAAACTGCAACTCCTTGATGAAATTGCTCCTTATAGTCCAAGAAGAAAGCAACACTTCACCTATCCTAAATAGAGAACCTGCTCCAGCTCAACTGACCCAAAGTGGGACCTCGTTAAGTCTGCAGCATTGGACTCTTTTGGTCAGAATTGCCAGGGCACAATCAATTGCTAGATGTTATTTACTTAAAACTATTGATTTCCATTAACATAATATCAGTCGACAAGGTATTACCACGTAGAAAGGGAGCTGTGTATTGGAATCTTGCCTTAACAATTATAATTCTGATCAATTTTCATCGATCTATATAAACCTTTTATCATAAAATTTTGGTCTTCACATTTCTCGATTTAGATCCGTTTTCATGCATTAATAACTCATTTGTCAGTCCGCTCTCATCCCTTTCAGAATTCAATTCATCCTATTCAGTACCACTAGACTGTGACAGAATGACCTCTTTGAACTTAAAAGTAGGCAAAGGTGAGTGACCTAAAGAAAACTTCAAAGAATCCCATGCGACATGTCTGTATTCACCAAGTCGTGCCAATGTCAGTTTCAAAACCTTGTGTACTGAAGCAGCAGAGTCTCAGTATGGAGCATATCAGTCTTTGGAGTAAGCAAGTTAGTCTAGGAAAATATACTACAAATTAGGTTGTAAGCTTACAGACAGTGATCAACAGCATTCTATTTGCATCGCCTAATTTCATTAACATACACAATGGTCACCATCAATGATACTTTTCATTCAGTTGGAAAGTACTGTGGCTCACAAATTACACTGGCATAAATGTTCACCATTTGTCATTTCACTTACTGTAATGAGCTATTCCCTTGAGAGAGAATACTGAGAGTATATTACTGTTCAAGGTTGGACATCATCCCTCTGAGTGGAAATGTATTGTAACAGCCTTACTAGTAAGCAAATTACTGATCAAGAAAGCAGTCAGACAACTGAATTCCTGGAGCCATTTTCAAGAAAATTGCATTATCTAAAATAAAATATATTCTGATCTCCACATCAACAATTTAACAGGCAAGGGATCATTGCTTTGAGCAAGGTATTGATTTCAATCATACATAATTACTAAATGGCTGTATGTCATGCTTTGTAATGATCAATGTGGTGATGAAATGCAATCTGTCACAACTGTTGCAATTGCCTGCCCATCCTGTAAGCTGTCACTTCCTTCAGTCATCAGAAACTAGGTGTCATCAGGGTCATATCTATCATTTTTTTCTATATCATTCCATAGCAGGGGCAGATACAGAGATATTTTCTGACAGTCTTCCAAATTATCTTTGTTAATTCGTCTTCAATTTTTGACTCTTCCGACAGAAAAATATTGGATACCTGTTAATATAAACTTAAAAATCTGACCGTCTTCTGGAAGACCCAGAAGACGGCCTACATCCTAAATAGGATAGACCTGCTTTGGAACAAATACATTATTTTGAATCTTATTTCTAATTTACACCAATCCAATCATGAATATGTTCTTTATAGAAATATTTCCCTCCATAGAATTACACTGTACTTTCATATACATTCTGTAAATCTTATTATATTTTTCTGTTTAACCACCTCCATTAAAGGCATAATAACTCTTTGTATGAGACCTATATTTCACAATAAAAACCTTGTGAATAACTCATAGAAATACAATATATTCTGTTTTACCACAAAAACAGCAGTTATAGCTTTTATTCTGATATTTGAACTTGTCTTTAGACCACGTGACCTCCATTGATGTCTATACTCTGTTAAGAGATTTTAACAAAAAACCAAACTTTTTAGAAAAAAAACAGGGACTTACTTTGAATGTAAAAATGGATTCATTAACCATTGGTAAGTATGGGAAAATTGTTGTTTACTCCAGGAAAATTCATTTTTTGGCCGAAACGAAGAGTTATTATTGCTTTAAACATAATGTTTGAAAGTTGCATTTCCTTTCTTTACAGATATGCATGGACAAATTTATGAAAACTATCTAAATGACCATGAATATAAATTATCATCAAGGGCTTTTCAGTTTTATTACATTTTTTTCTTTCTTATTTTTTAGAAAAAGATACATGAATCCTACCTAGCATGTCCTAGATTGCTATTTACACAAAATGAGTACCATCTCTTTTGTGCCACAAATAACCCTAATTTTATTAATCAAGAGCACTTATCTGCATGGCCATATATCTTTCTACATCCAGTCCTGTCAGGCGTACAACTTCATGAGATTGCTGGCTGCTCAATGAATGTGTCCATTAAGATACAGATGTTTTAGAGGACTTAATCACTGAGTTCACAATTTATAATGCCTTGCAATCAGTCAATAAAGTACTAAAAGCTTGTGCTGGCTTTAAATAATCCTAATTAATTAATAATGCTGCTTCAACATTTCTAGAGGTGCAAAGCTAAAACTATAATTTTTTTTATTTTCAGTTTTCAAGAAATTATATACCAACAGCTTCATCTGAAAATCAATATTCTAGTCAATTGTAATATATCCTATTAAAAACAAAAATTAGTGATCAAATAACAGTATACAAATAATGTTTAAGTTCTAACAAACAAATTTGCCAAAATCCAGAAATCATGCAATCCTACTAGTTTTTTTTTCTCTTTACTGGTTACTAGTAACTCTTTTTCCCCATTACAGACATACTTCATAAAATCTGGGTTCGAAATAGTATGATTATCTCATATAAGTGATTTGTACCCGCCTCCTACTTTAGATAACATGAAGTACCTGCATGACTTGTATACAGACTCAGTCAAACCAGGTTCAGGTGCATGTGAGCTGCTTAACTTTGCATCTTTATAAAATCTTTTGCATTGACTTGCAACTGGGACATGAAGTCACGAGACTGAAATAGGCCAAAGAAGGATGCTACCCAGGAAGCTGGGAGATTTTTATCTGGAGTTAATTAAGTCTTTTGCCCTTTTGCTGAATAATGCATCATTATATTTTGATTTTGACATCAGTGCCAAAATATTGTCAAACCTTTGGTCTGTCATCAAAAATACCGTTACAAGTATGATAAATCACTAGTAGTCTATAGAAAAATAATTCAAAATAAAATTTACTAAAATAAAAAAAAAATGGAATCAGATTCAGAATGTGTAAAATTGCAGTGACTTTTCAGTAGGTTAGAAAGACATTCTGCACTGGTATTATAATGACATCTACAAATTTTGCTGTACATGACAACACTGATGAGAATACGTCTTGCTTCTTTGGATTTTTTGTCAATGTCATTGGATGTACATTTTAAATTAAAATTTACAAGCTTTGAACAGCATGTAAAATTTTGCGACTGAATAATTTTTATAAACAAATACATGCCTGCAACTTGATGTCCCAATAAGAAATATAGATAATGTGCAACGTTAACAGTAATCACATTTAAACATTAAAGCCAAGAACAAGTTACTGAACTTACCGATCGTGTCTTCCAGATTGGTGTTTATGAAAATCAGCTGCTGACATGTACGTCACAGATTTTGGCCTTTCTGTCGTCCCGGCGTTTTGCACACCTATGGTTTTATCTTTTGACCTAGCTCTGACAGCGTTATCAGTTCCATTTTCACCGGAATTCATACCACTAGAAACTATCAATATTACTACGGATGTTTGTCTCCAAACTAATCGATAATTCGAGTGATTGGAATAATGAACTTTTCCTCGTACGCCGGTCTGGACATGACGTCACTTCCTGGAAGCCAGTGGTATGAAAATGTTAAAACAATCGACAATACTAGAAAAAAATATTGAAATAAGTTTTGCCACATTATAGTTGTTTCAAATTCATTTATTTCAAAACTTGTATTATGAAATTTGGATATTAATGATATCTTTTAAACTATCTTTATCATAAAGAAAGTAGCTCTGTATACTTTCCTTCCCAGCATTCATAGCGGCATTCCAGGGTTTCATGGCGGATTCTGATGAAGATCGAGGAAACGTAAGTTGAATAGATTGTTGTTGTTGGATTTTAATAGACGGAATTATAGTTGTGTACACTTGATAATCTAAGGTTGTTAAATGTAGAATCTGAAGTGCTAAAATTGACGTGATAATCTACGTTATACACTCTGAAATTAGTCCGTATCCAACGACGCTCAGGGTCCAAATTTAGAAGGTCAATCAATTTCATGGCGAATTAACCATATATTTATACGTCACATAACCGACTCGATAAATCACAAATAAAAGTATCCCTCTTTTGGTTTTAAATTAATCACATGTATTTTAGGCGTGTATGGCAAAATATTTTTAATTGTATNTTTTTCTCGTACGCCGGTCTGGACATGACGTCACTTCCTGGAAGCCAGTGGTATGAAAATGTTAAAACAATCGACAATACTAGAAAAAAATATTGAAATAAGTTTTGCCACATTATAGTTGTTTCAAATTCATTTATTTCAAAACTTGTATTATGAAATTTGGATATTAATGATATCTTTTAAACTATCTTTATCATAAAGAAAGTAGCTCTGTATACTTTCCTTCCCAGCATTCATAGCGGCATTCCAGGGTTTCATGGCGGATTCTGATGAAGATCGAGGAAACGTAAGTTGAATAGATTGTTGTTGTTGGATTTTAATAGACGGAATTATAGTTGTGTACACTTGATAATCTAAGGTTGTAAAATGTAGAATCTGAAGTGCTAAAATTGACGTGATAATCTACGTTATACACTCTGAAATTAGTCCGTATCCAACGACGCTCAGGGTCCAAATTTAGAAGGTCAATCAATTTCATGGCGAATTAACCATATATTTATACGTCACATAACCGACTCGATAAATCACAAATAAAAGTATCCCTCTTTTGGTTTTAAATTAATCACATGTATTTTAGGCGTGTATGGCAAAATATTTTTAATTGTATGCATGTTCTAATTTCTAGTTTTTAAACAAAAATAGAAAAGGGGGTTCATTTATTCTCAATGCATGTTTTTATATCAACATTACAGGCGACCCTCCACCAGAATCAGCCTTATGATGAATCTCTAGAAGTTCCTGATTCCGAGGAAGTTGCAAGCACATACACACCTAGTCCAAGAGTACCTTTTGGTGGTAAAGTTAATACTAAAACTATAAAATAATATTGGTGTAATTTAACAAAACAAATCACTGTCTGGAATCATAATGTATGTAGTGTATGGAAAAGCATTAAATGATTTTTTAACGATTTTCAGATAATAAATCCATACAACTCAAGCAAAGGAAATGTTTTCAAAACAGCACTTTTAAAACTGTCCAGAAAAACAACTCTTTTCACCAACATTGTCATAAAGTTATACTCCAATAAAATGGAACTTGATTTTTAAAAGCAGTACTATTAATTTTACACTTACATCTGTCAAACTCTTGCTTAATGAATATCAAATGAAAAGTTTATATATTTATTTCAGACCGCGGTCATAGCCGTGGAAACACCCCACCCGAGTCCGGAATGAGTGACAATTTTGACGATGAGTTTGATACTGGACAGCCCAGTCCACAGGTATTTTTATACTAGCAGTGCCAGTTTACTTTCTTACATTACCAGAGAAATACAGGATTATGAAAGATTATTTTACAAGCTTTGTAGTGTTTGTATGCTAACTCAAGAAATCTTGATGACCAGTAGTTGCTCATATGTTCTCATGTAAATAAATAAAGATCTATTGATTATAAAACAATTGTTAACAATAACCTTTACATCTTGAAGAGTTTTTTATGAATGAACCAGATAATTTTATAACAGTACTTTTATAAACAATCAATTCAGCTTATAACCAAAGAAAATAAAAGAACTCGTAATTTTTAAAAAGTTACTAATTATGTTATATATTGTCAATTGAAGTTGTTGTAAACCAGCCTTTATAACATACAAATCATTCTCTTTTATTAGGTAAATCCAAGGCAGCAACAACAGCAGCATGAGCAGCAACAACCTGCTTACAATGAAGATGGAGATGAAGATGACAGCGAGGAGGGAGATGAAACGGACCAGGATGATGATGATGAAGATGATGATGATGATGATCAGGGTGTGCAGATGGAAGGGTAAGTCTTTGTTATAGTTATTCCTTAAAAATCCCGTTTTAGCTGTATGAGATATTTTGAAAATGTTAAAATAATGAAATAGAATTAACTTTTCAAAGAAATTATTTTTGTGGGAAATATTGCGGGTCCGTCAGTTAAACATATATATATATATATATATATATATATATATATATATATATATATATATATATATATTTATTTATTTATTTATTTATTGTCAAAGCTTGAATCATTTTTTGTTTAGTCAATTAAACTGATAAAAATTAAAATAGCTTTTATTCACTTTGATCAATCCAAATTACTGTTCACTAGCTCATGAGAAATTCTCTAATAATGGTGCTCATTTTAATTTTTTAATCTTGAAAAACAAAATGAAATCTAAATGATGTTTTCAGATAAGATTTTTTCATTGAGCATGAACTATGACATGTGCTTATTTTGCTTGGACTTCTGGCTGACCAGCTTTATCTTTTATTTTGAAGATAAACAACACTGTATTATTTAATTTGATTGTACTATAGATTCATTGATATATACCACTACAACTTTTTATTCCACAATATGTTTTTAGTGCACTGATTCTCTTTTTAATGAATTGTTTACAGTGGATAATTGTCTTCCTAAAATATGTTTTCTTATGTGTGCATGTGTGTGTTCTAACAGTTTCTCTGTGTGAATAAAATTTTCTTTTGATTAAGCTGCATTTTTCATTGTGCACATGTAAAAATACAACACACTGATTTTACTCCTTTAAGCTTCCAACTGATTTACTTTTATACCTAAAATTGAGAAGTATTAAAGTGATCAAACTGGTGTTTGTGGTATTAAAATATTTACTTCATATGCCTCTGAAAATAAGTTCAACATTTAGAAATAGGGATAAGCATTGAGCATTGAAAGTGGCAGGGAGACTGTGACAGATGGAGGAACTGACAGCATGATCACTTGAAGTTGTGTCAGATTTTTTCAAGAATTTCTCAGGATGAGATATGTCAGAAGTGGCAATGACAGGGTGAGGGGTGGGGGGGTGTTGATAGAGGCAGTGCTGGGATGGGTTGGGATTAATTCAGGCTTAATATGGAGAGCAGATAGATAGGAATAGTAGAAGGTGGGGGGGTGCAGTTGGGAACTGTGTTAAATAAAATCATATTAGTTTTATGTCAGTTTTATCATAGATTGGCTGGACACATAAAGGAAAAAAAATGGAATTATTTTTACTTCTGTATTTTATGGAATCAGCCCTTCAGCTATGATTTTAACTCTACATGCAAACGAAAAAGAAAAAAACACACATTCTTTTATTTGGTTAGGTTCTTTTTACAAGGAAGTTGCCTGTAGTCCTTTTACATTCTTTCTTTTTTCAAAACCTCATAGACTTCAACTAAATCTGCAAAGAGTAACACAATTCTTGAAAGCATTTTAGAAATCTAACCGTAGAAAACTGTGTGCTTTTGCAATATTGACAGTCCGTAATGAGTATTCTATAAAAACGCTTAGAGCCAATAACAAGTAGAAGCTCCTAGTGGCAGAGAACTACATGTAGAAACTGACATAAGACTAATCATGGGCGTATTTAACTCAGAATTCTCATAATTCAGACAGACGCCCCGAGCTGTCCCCTCTTTAAACAGGGACGACTTGGGGAGGAGTGACGATGATGAGGATGGGGAAGAAAGTGATGATGAGGAGGAGGATGATAACTTAGGGATGCAAGCTGTGGGGTGAGTGAAAAAGGTCTAGCTTGAGTTATGGAAGGTGGAGAGGGGTTTAGCAGTGTTATACTCATGATGCAGAACTTTCAGTATCAAAGAATTTGTGTTGTGTTCAACTTGGTAAGGCATTTTACCCTGGTTTCTCCTTTAACACATGTATACCTGTATCAATGGGTGCTGGCACCATGTGTTTGCAATTGGATTGACTTAGGGCAGACAGTTAGGATTTTGTCTTGGATTGCCTTAAACCAATTCTGTATCTAAACTAGGTAAAGATATTGATCAGTATAGCAGACTTTGTATCTAGAGATAATGCCATTTCGGATTGTGGGTCATTTCTCATAGGTACCCTTATAGTCCAGTGATGAATTACTTTGTCCCAAGTCTTATATTTTCAGGTTTTACATGTATTTTTGTACAGTTATTTAGCAAAGTTGTAAGCCTTGTATTGGTTTACTCAGTCTTTTGTGGATGTGAAATTTGCCATTTTTTGTCATAATTATCCCTACAACCTGTGAAGTGTATCACAGACTCCCCCGTCATTTTAGTCCGCTATATTAAATAAAAATGGGATATTCAGTTGAAAAAAACAGGGGAAGTGGTCAAACCATGACGGGGCAATCTTGCTAAAATGATTTAATATATTACTAGTATCATTTTTGTACATACAAATTGAAAGTAAACTGCACGTTTCAGGAGAAGGCGTAAGAGAAAAGTGAAAGAGCACTTAATAGACAAATGTATCCCAGACCCAGAGGGGAAGTAAGATGACTGAAGAACTGAATTATTATTAACATTACATGTTATCTTTTCCCCCTGAGATAGGGGTGTATAACTACGAAAAGCTAATGTTTTTTTTTCCAACATAATTTTCTGTTTACATTCAATGTTTTGTCAGAAAAACACCACACCTACATATAGCAGCTAGTTTCCTATCTTATTATCCAGCTATGCAGGGAGGAATCTAGTTTGATGCGACAAGAAGGTTTAACAAAATTTTTGGTTATTTTTTGTGTTATAGCTTTTTTTACTTTTTGAAATTTCATTTGGTGTTGAAAAATAACTGTTCTCATTACTGACAGTAACAAACTCATTGTATTTTTGAGCCCTGTATATTGATTATATTGTTGCATCAAAGAGTTGTAGAGACTTATTGTTCACACTGACACTTCTTTGTGATAGTATGCTGCATACAAAATAACAAAAGTTATATTTTGTGTAAAAACATAAGGATTGGCCAAAGAGTGAATTTTTCATCTAAAGTGCTAAGCTTTAAACAGGAAATTATTTATTTTCTCACAATTTTTAGGTGAAAAATTAGTAATTCCTTATCTGTGATTGGGTATTCTTTTGCAACAGTTTCTTTTAAATCACTTTTGTTTCCATTCATACTATTTTGAAGTACGTCATTCTATATTTGATAATTTTCAAATATTTCTTTACAGGTCTGCTTATCATTTAATTTTTAAAGATCAGCTAATAATCGCATATTATTTTTTCTATTAATTCATAAATATCACTGATATTTTACAGAGCCTATGACCCAGCAGACTATGAGCACCTAGCTGTCACCCCAGAGATCAAGGAGTTGTTTCAATACATCACTCGCTATACCCCGCAGACCATTGAGTTGGAACACAAAATGAAACCGTTTATACCAGACTACATCCCGGCTGTGGGGGATATAGATGCTTTTATCAAGGTATTGTAAGAATTGTCTAGTGGGTAGTACTTATAGATCTGTATCATATTGTGAAAATATGTTAAACATTTTCAAACATTCAGAGATTATTGTTAATTTATAAATCTGTATCATATTGTGTAAATGTGTTGAACATTTTCATACATCCAATGAAATATTACATTGTTTCAGAATCTATTGAGTAAATTTTCCCCTTTTTTTCAATTTTTATACTGTTGAATACAGAATATTAACACCTTTATTATCCTCCTTCCAGATTCCTCGCCCAGATCTGAAGCCAGATAACCTGGGACTGACTGTACTTGATGAACCCTGTGCCAAGCAGTCTGACCCCACTGTCCTTGACCTTCAGCTGAGGGCTATCTCGAAGCAGACCAACCTCAAAGCTATGGTATGAATCTACAGCGTTTCTCAAATTTCACAGCAGTTTGGGTCCATTATTGAATTTTTTATTTAGTTAGTTATTTTTTGACTGATCCCTATGACAAAATTACAATAATTACACCCATTTCCTGTATCCAAAAAAAAAAAAAAATGACCTTAGGCGTAACATAAATGTGGATAGTTAGTGTGGCATAAACTTTCCTCAAATAGAATTGATAGCCCTGCTAAATAATTATTTGCCAGTGTCAAGTACATGTTTTTATGAATAATAGTTTTATATATTGCCTGTGTGTCAGTATTCATAAGTTGTCACAAACATTCATAACTATCCTTTAACATATGCAGAACTACATGGATGTGGTATGTACAGGTGCTTTTTTTTTAATCAAAGGATTTTTCTGATGTTCTGCACCACAAATTATTTTTGAATTTAAGGGCACATTTGATGTCATTATTAGTGAAGTGCACAGTACAATGCATTGCAGCTATTTTTTTCCTTCTTAATTTTTTTTTTCAGAACTCACATTTTATGTGAGTCTTTTGCCAGGATTCACATTTTATGATGTTTTGCTTTGTTTCACATTTTATCATTTACATATTCACATTTCAGTTGTGAAATTAGAATAATATCGATCCTGTAAAACGCATAAACAATTAGTTTTAAAAATGTCAACTTTGAAATAAACATTTACTTTTAATTTTGTCTGACAGGTTGTTAAAAGTTTAGAAAATGCTGAAAAGAACCCCAAGGCTATTGACAGCTGGATCGAGAGTATCAAAGAGCTGCACAGGTCCAAACCACCACCTACTGTACATTATACAAAGTAAGTGTCAGTGTAAATGATCACAAAATTTATTCATCTTTAGATTAACTTATTCATTGACTTACCAGTTCTGATACTAATTCATACATGGCATTTTGATATAACAGCTTTTTTTAGATGAGGTCCAGTTTTATGTTTTTTCTTGTTTTTTGTTTACACATGTCATACATTGTAACTTTGTATATTGTTGGATTATGTATTACTCTTCTTTTCCATTGATTTCATATAGAGGGTAAGTGAGGGGAAGAGGTGTTTTGTAAAGTTTTTTTTTATGCTGCATTCTTTACTTAAGCCCTATCCTCCTTGCTAAAAGATCATCGGAATCAGAGAGACAGATGCACATGATCTTTTCAGTATTTCTCCTCTTTACCCAATCGCTCATCAGAAACCGTATGTTATTAGTAGATTCTGTTTTCTTTCTGTGACAAAATGTAGTTTTTAGTTATCAGATTCCTGGTTAAATTTCATAGCCTAGTCAGGCACTAGTTTAAGTGTTAAAATTTACACAGGTAGTCCCATAGGTGAGACTGATTTATTGACTTTTTTCTTTTGCTTCATGTTTATACAAATTATATAGAACGGAATTCATTCGTGAGGTTAAGTTTCAGCATATCCAAATCCTAAAAACTCTACAAAATGCATGGTAATACTCTGTACCCTTTGTAAAACATGCCATATCTTTTGCTTTATTTATTTTTTTCTGTTTAAGAATTATTTCATAAAAGCTTAATATTCATTTTGCCAATTGCTTGATTGAAGAGAACAAATTGTATGAGCATGAATGCTGTAAGTTACATTGCATGTAGAGTGTTGTAAGAGTTTCTGTTTAGTTTTCCCCACATCCAGTGCTTGTTTTGTTAAAATTACACATTTCAGCATGTTTCCTGTCTACAGCTTATAACCATGAAACTTTACATCCAGCTTTGTGGTATAAAGCGGGTTATAACTTGATTTTTCACATCAGTTAGCTGTTTCTTTCTATAGTATACAGTAATGCTCTTATCCAGATCCCTTATAGTCATTTTAAGAGTACTATCTTCCACCTAGTATTTTAAAAACTGTAATGAAATTATCTTTATATTGACAGTCTTTCAATATAAGTCACGTAGTCACTATCTGAGGACTATTAGGCTGTGCGATTTTCTTTATAATTTCCTGCAGGTTGGCAAGATTGCATATTTTAGTCACATCCCATGGTTTACTTATGTTCGTGTTTGTATGATTTGCTTTTAAATTATATATGGAAAGTCCGCATTTTGATAATAGAGGCATGGCAGTTAATGTTAGTTTTACACATTTGTAATTTATCAGAATCACACAGACCTTGTTCGTTTCTTTAAGCCCAGTATGTTTTTTTATGGTGACCACTGCATAGTTTCTCTTTTTTTTTAATTAACCTTAAGCTTACAACATGCACATCAGTCCATGTATAAAGACTTGCAATGGCATACAATCTTTGAACATTGTTTATATAAAAATATATAAATAGGTCAATAGACAGAGAATTGTTTAATTTAGAGTTTTATTTCCAATGCCTATATTTGGATGTTTTTTCCCAGAAATATGCCAGAGATTGATGCTTTAATGCAGGAATGGCCAGCAGAACTGGAGGAGTTGCTGAAGGAGGTAGGGTCAGGGTTTTCAGTATGTGGATGTCACAAAGGTGAAAGTTTTCAGGTTTATGTCTGATTTCAGAATTTTTAATCTTCGTTTTGAACTTTGATAGCTTTATTATTATTATTATTACTATTTTAATGAACTAAATGTGATGAGAAATTGCAAGCTACAATTTCAGGATTTTCAGTTTTACAATTTTCACCCATGGGATATCAAAATTTGTCTGGAAGTGCGAAAAATTATATAACTTTGTACTGTCATGAAAGATATATGTTTTCTGAATTACATATCTATATTTTTCTGTAAAATGTCACTAACAACATAATTATTAAAAATCACATTTAGTTATATATATATATATAGATGCATAATATAGTAATAAAATTGTTCTCTCCAGGTGAGCCTGCCTCCTGCTGATCTGGACTGTGATCTGGGGATGTATGTGGACATTATATGCTGTGAGTAGGCTGTTTATTTAGCCACAAAAATAAATTGGACCTAGCAGGGATATATAACAATATGTCAACTGAATGTTGGTAATTTATTCATCAGTGAAAGCCAGAAAGCTACAATCAAAATAGTATATTTTTAATGCAATATAACAATGAAAATAATCATTGTTTAAGGAATGGATTATTATTTTAAAGGCAGTGATGAAAATTTTTAGACTATTAGAACTTAAAGACTATTCAGTTTGATAATTTTGTTCATGATTTAATGGTAATACTTTATATTTTCAGCTCTGCTAGACATCCCAATTTATAAAACTAAAATACAGGCCCTACACGTACTATTCACATTGTACTCAGAGTTCAAAAACTCACAGGTTAGTTTTCTCCAAGAAACAAGTCTATAATTACAACAGTACTAAAAATGCTTGGGTTTAGAAGGTAATCATAAATATATCCAGAAAAGCACATTTCAGGCACATTATTCTGTTTTAAAGATTTTCTTAACATGAAAGTAAAAAAATAATAAGAACTTAAAATAGCGGTGTCAGAACAAAAAATGATGGAAATAATGAAGTAAATACAAATGATTGAGTAGAATGAAGCTGAAAATAATAACCACATTTTATCTTTCCAGCACTTTCAAACATTGGCCGAAGAGAACAAGCTAGATAATGCACTGAAGCGAGGAGGACCTCTGCCAGATGACGGGGCAGATACCTTGGTGTTATAGTCATGGAGGAGAATGGGAAAAGACATTTACCATCGGGGGCGTCTTGATAGTCCAAAGGTTCATAGGTCCGAAAAATGGTAACATTTTCATCGTTTTTTTAATCAAGGGTTCATTGGTTCCGAAGGTTCTATAGTGAACATTTGGACCAATGAACCTCCGGACTACTGAACCTTTGGACTATTTGCTACAGCCTAAATACCATCTTAATTTGGTCATGTGATAAAACATATTGATATGTTGGAACTATTCAGCATGTCATTTGATTGACCACAAAAGGACCAGATGAAAACTTTGTTTGCAGCTGCAGTTAACCAGCTTGAACATTACTGGTGTTTAAACCACTTGAAAGTCTGACTTAAAATTGTGGATGTGAATTCTGCCAAGTATGCATTTAAATGCAAAACTATATGAACAGTCAAAGATTAAGAAGACCACAAAAAAGGATGCAGTTGTGTTTTTGTATTCAAGAATTTTGGAACAACTGGGTGCCACTTGGACTAATGAGATATCTGTGTGACATAATAAATTCTATTGACTCCCCATTGTTATCAGTAAGACTAAAAAGATTTTAAGATAACAATTGAACCAAAGGCAATTTGATTTGTAATTTGCAGTCATCCCATTTTTAAGGTCTGTATTTTGTCACTATTTTTTTTTTTACTTTCCTTTGTATACCTGTTGTCAGAATGTCTATATGTACCAGATTGATTTATTGTCAATTGATTGGGATTTACTTTGCTATATGAAGTGCAGTGTTGTACTGTGTAACTAAGTTCATGATGGCAGAACATGTCTGAAATTATAAAGGTGGTCATTTCACTTGAAATCTTTATCTCCTGAGCAATTTCAGGAATTGAATTTGTTTTATTGTTTTTTTTTTTTTTTTTTTTTTTTTTTTTTTTTTTTTTTTTTTTTTCTTCTTTTTGATTTAATTATTTATTATTCATTTGATTAATTATTTATTTATTTAAATTTGAACTACTTGACTGTCAAATATTTTCCTTACATGTGTTGGTCTTCTTCCATTGTTTGTGCTATGCCACACTGAGAAGATAAGTAAAATATCCAATGACATTTCCTAGCACAAGGTTTTTTTTTTTTTTCAGTCTTTACTATCATTTTTGTAGTTACTAATGTTATTATTAATTATTTATGTGGCAGGATCACAGTGTATGTGTATCTTTTTCTTGACAGAATCGGATTTTTTAAATAAATTTTATTCAAAGTTTTCTTGTTCTCCCTGTGTCTAGACAGCTTGTGTTTTGGGTCACAAAAAACATCAACTACAATACAGTCTTAAAAAATCCAAACAGAATTTTACACTTAACTGGTGACTTAACTTGCAAAACAGTACAGTTTGAATCACTCAGTTGTATTAATCTCACCATTCAATACCCAGAAATACTTGTATGAGTAGATTTCAAAGGTGATAAGAGTAATGAAATGTGATTAATGCGGTAGTTGGGCGTAATACAGCGGGAATGTTTTGTTGAGATACGAAACTACGTTTAGCAGAATCTGCTAGCTCTGTAAGCTTCCACTTCCTGTTCCACGATGGTAGACGAAGTAACCAAGGAGTTATAACAGAAGGAGATTACACGCGTGGGGGCGGAGCCCGTATTACGGTCTCTCATTGGTCGGAATGAATAGAACCCAGAGAACAATGGATGCCTATCTCTGTTACGCTTAATTGCTACTCTCGTTTAAATCTCGTTTGTTAGTATCTGTGCCTTCGTCTGTACATTTTTGAGGACAGAAACAGAAACGGAGTCCCAAGTTTCTAAAACANCCTTGAGACCGGAGGCCCCCCGTAGCTAGCTCCGCCCACCGTAACAGACATCGGACAATAGAAAGGCTTGCGTGTAATCTCCTTCTGTTATAACTCCTTGAAGTAACTAAGAAAACTTTGGGGCAGATTCCCCTGCTGAAGACTAAAGCAGGGCCAAGAGATGGTGATCTGTGGGCTCAGAGGTTAAAGGAAGAGTATCAGGCTCTGATTGCAGTAAGTCCGGCGAAATGCCAGTTAGACATGTAGATATATTCCCTAAAATATGGTAATGTTGAAAGGTGTGTGTGTGTGTGTGTGTGTGTGTGGGGGGGGGGGGGGGGGGCATTCTGGTTAAAATTTTAATTATTGACCCCTAATATTCTCTGATTAATTTTTTCCCAGTCATAGCTAAATATACGTATGCAGTCACATTGATCATTATCATTTTTTTTTAATATTTTCACTGACACCATAATAAATGACTTTAATGATAATTAATTTTAATTTAATCAGTATCTTAGTAGAGAAAGTGTTTGAGAGGATGTTTTCACTTCAGTATGTGCAAAAGAACAAAGAAGCTGACAACGACTGGTTCAGACTTGAGTCCAACAAAGAAGGAACGCGGTGGTTTGGCAAATGCTGGTATATTCACAATCTGCTCAAGTATGAGTTTGATGTAGAATTTGATGTAAGTATGAAAAAACATTCCAGCAAACAAAAAAAAATTTAACGTTATTAAAATGTTTTTTTTTTAATGTTATAAAAATGCTGTTTTTTTTTACAATTTTGTAATAACATGATTATGTGTGGTTTTAAAAATGTTTTAACAACAAATTTGAATAACATTTTAGAACATTTTTAAAACATAGTTATAATGTTTCAAGAAAAACATTATTAAAACATTATGATAATGTTTTGAGAAAAAAACATTTAAGGAAAATGTCATTAAAGTGTTACATTAATGTGGGACAAGGAATTTGCACTTGTTTTTATTCAGCTCCTATAAAATACATAATATACTTGTTGTATTGTGTCATGGGTCACTTTAAGTCAGAAAAGATAATTTAACCTACATTTCACCTGTAATTTCCTAATGCTGTTACCCTTGCTTCAGATTCCAGTGATGTACCCCACCACAGCACCAGAGATAGCTATTCCAGAGTTAGATGGGAAGACTGCAAAAATGTACAGGTAAAGTCTGCCCTGAGTCAAAGAGACTACTGGAAACTTGCCTCTCTTATAACCATGTCCTTGCCGTTTCTGAAAACGTGTGCATTTGTCAGCACATGCATCGTGTGTATGCATGCACTCGGGTAGGGTTAATTTGCTTTTGATTATATCTGAGTCTTTGATAGGCAAGAATTGTTATGTAAGATTGTGTTCTTATTATAATATTTGGGTTCCATCTTTCAGAGGAGGAAAAATCTGCCTAACAGACCATTTTAAGCCACTTTGGGCAAGAAATGTACCAAAATTTGGAATAGCACAGGCTTTTGCACTCGGGGTAAGAATACATATTCAGCTATACAGGTGCACATTTTTTTTCTTCAAGTTAAAAATGCTCTCTCTTGTAAAAATCTGAACTTTTTTTTGGGGGGGGGGGGAGATGACAGCTATGAAGTTAAATTATTTTGCCTGTCTTATGATGAAAAAATATGGAAAACAAATATTTGGTCAATTTGACTTGGTTATCTCTATTTCCATGAATGAAATGCTCTTCAGTCCTGTATATATGTAATATCCCCTACTTCTTTTATATTCTGGTTGGAGATAGATCAATAGACATAAATTTTATAATGATATATTTGGGATGATAGTTTTTGCTGACACAATTAGGCACTTTTTATTTTTACTTGTTTTAATTGAACCTTCTTTCTTTCAGCTTGGACCATGGCTAGCTGTGGAGATTCCAGATCTTATAGAGAAAGGACTTGTAGTACATAAGGACAAAGCAACCAGCTAGCAGGCATGACCACCCTGAAGCTGAAAGAACTAATTGTCATTTTCCTTTGTATTTAACATGGTCATTGGCATTGAAATGTGACTTGTCATTCAGTCAGTGACATTCGAATTATGGTCTCAAGTCTGTTGCGTTATGCCAAGTATCTACAAGGACAGAATGGCTTAGGATGTCTTTCTGTGATTTACAGGACTATATCTTAAAGCTTGCATGGAAAAAGTTGCTATTTATTCGGTCTTGATGCAGGAACTAACTATGCTGTGCATTTGTCAGCTTGTGCTGGTTAATTTTGTTAGTGCAATTGAAATACCCATTACACCAGGCCCCAGTTCTTAACAAAAAAAAAACTTAAGTCATTTCCCTGGCTTACTAGGATTTTCATGAGAGTACTGTTACACTGCTCCTGATGGGATAAGATGTGACCATGTAATCTTGGGTAATTAAGTTATTAGCCAGGAAACCTGGAACCTGTCTTAAGCTTTTTTTTTTTTTTTTTTTTTTTTTTGTGAAACCTGGGCGAGGCTGAAGACATCTGCAATTCATGTTCATGTCAGGGTCACATTTCATGTACTGTATGCCATCAGTGGAATGCCTATTTCACACAGGATTAATAAATAACTTCATGCTGTTTGGCATGCTGCAAAAGGACTCAAATAATTGTCAAAAAAAGGGGGGGCTAAGTACTGAAACAGGCTGGCTTAATCCAAGTCTTCCTGATGTCACAAAGTTGGTGACAGTCAATGGCCTCCTTAAATTCCTTGTTTTGTACCATTTCTAATAAAATAATTCAGTCCCGAATGTCTGCTCAGTCATTTACATGGCTTACTCTGTGACAGAAAAAAAACTCAAAAATAAACATGTTCCTCAACATTTATTTTCCGTTGTGGCACCAACAGTTTTCCAAGGTTTTACAACTTGAGCACAAGACAGTTCCATGCATAAAGTCAGCCAGGGATAAGAAAAGAGAAATAAAAAGGTCAGAAAAATGTATATCAATATCCTATAAAACTTCTGGAGTCTTTTTGTCTGCTTATTATTAGAGAAATGTCAAAAAAGTATGCATGTATACAACTGCACTTTAACTTGGGGGTTTCAGATCATAAGTGGCACAAGTAATAAAATTTGTGGAATATCTTTCAAGATTTAAAAAAGGTTGACTGAAAAAGATATCTGCTCCATTTTTATTTTCAGCTAGGATTGAAAAACTCAAAGGGCTGATACGTAAGACAACAGTGTAACTTCGAAGAAGCTTTGGTTATTTATAAAACACTATTAATTTAATGGTTTACAAGGGAAAAGCACATACCAGTAACAGTATATCTTCCTCTTAATTTTGTGTATGACTTAAACATTTCAATGAAAAATTTTACAGTCCATTAAATTATACTTCAGCAATAAGCAATTTAAAAAAAAAAGTGCAAAAGAAGGATGATACTGATAACAAAAATTACACTTTCAAGATCACTTCAAATGTTGCAGTTAAAATTGCTCACATGTAAGTTACAATTTATTCTATTACAAGCTTACAGGAAAGGTTGCTTTACACAGCTAAGCCAGATTTTATTAAAAAAAAAAAAAATTGCTGGTGTGGATTTTTCCAAGCTTCAGACACCTCTAAACAGTGACATAAAAAGTTTTCTTTTTTCAAAGACAATGACACAGACTTCATAAACAACAAAATGACAATATTTCATTTTTGGCCAAAATTTAAGGAATGAAAATGACTACGTGGAATTGAGTTTTCTATTTGGCATCTTAGGAACATCACATCACAGTCTAGGCTTCCATTAAGTTAAAATTCCATTAATAAATTTTGAGATTCCTATTCTATGATGATAATTAATACAGCTGCATCTTGGAAGTACAGTACAGAGAATTATTTGCTCTCATCCCTAGATGGCCCCATCTGCCAAGATGAAACCCATCCTAGTGTTTGCGGTGATGCTTTCTCTTGTGGTGGTGGTTATTGCGCTCATGTGCTTGCTTCGTGGGAGCAGGTGTGGTCTGAAATTGGTAAAATTCAAATACAAAACGTAAGTCCTTACAAGAAAAATCCACAAATCATGTGTGGAGAAATTGTGGAACAATTTGTGGAATACCATTTTTTATCAAATTTTGTACAATTGGTCACAAAATTTGTTTGCACAAAAAATACACAAAAGATAACAAATGCTGTAAGAAAAACCAAATATATTTTAATTTATGAAACTAAAATTACAATAAATTTATTTCACACGACAATAATACCCCCTTCCTTCATACAAGGAAAAATATCTTGGACAAGATCAGCTATAAGTAAAACTCCCCACTCCCCATGATGGATTCTACCCATACACAAGCTAGTCCCCTGTTCTCCACATCTATTCTGGAGTATCCCACCTGTTCCTGGGTGTTCACGTTAGCCACAAACTCCTCCACATCCTCAGGGTGGGAATCACGCCCAAGGTGTGCGTCTGGGACTGGCCCGAAGTCATCCTCGTCAGACACTGCGTCCAGGTGACGGTTGATTTCCTCCTCCAGTCTGGACAGATCCACGTCATCCGTGGCCTGGAAACCTTCCAATATGGCCTTCCTCTCCTCAGCAGATGGCAACTGGTCACTATGGTGATCATCTGGAAGGTTAATAGGTTATGGCCATTACTCACCAATTTCTCATGCCTTATTAATTCCAATATTTTATCATTTTCAACCAGGTTTCTCATTTTTAGTAAATTAAAAGTATATATTAAGGTATTTACCACCAATATTTAACTGACTGACTGCATATGCTTGTTTGTACACTATTCCAAGTTAACAAGGACGTGTTTAACAAAAAAAGTTTGCATATATAACTCACAGCTGCCTGCTATCTTCTTGAGATCTGTCTTACAACTGGAGGCAGTGCACACCCAGTTCCCACAGGCACAGACACTGAAATAAGGACATAGGAATTAGGTGATACGCTATCTCACTATATGAGACTTTAAAGGGATAATATAACTCTTCGTTATGGCCAAAAAATTAATTTTCCTGGAGTAAACAACAATTTTCCCAAACTTACCAATGGTTAATGAATCCATTTTTACATTCAAAGTTAGTCCCTGATTTTTTTCTAAAAAGTTTGGTTTTTTGTTAAAATCTCTTAAGAGATTATAACAGAGTGCAGCCATCAGTGGAAGTCACGTGATCTGAAGACAAGCTCAGATATCAGAATAATAGCTTTAACTGCTGTTTTTGTGGTAAAACAGAATATATTATATTTATATGAGTTGTTCACAATGTTTTTATTGTGAAATAAAGATATCATACAAAGAGTTATTATCCCTTTAATATAACAAATGTTGACTCGATATGACTTAAAGTGTTAAATTCACTGACAGTACCAGGATTTTTATTTTTCATTTTCTTTTTTATTTTTTTTATTTATTTATTTTTTTTATTATTATTATTATTTTTTTTTTTTTTTTTGGGGGGGGGGGGGGGGAAACAAGGGTTTAAAGTTTTACCTAGTTTCACTTGCCCCAGACTCCCCCTGGAACCATTATTGACATTTATAATTGGGGAAATGTGGTGTGTAAAAATTCATTTGTTATGTTAAGCATCTGCAGCTTACTTTTAAGAAACAAACAACAGTGTATGGATAGAAAATCAAATGCGGTTTCAAATATTCTAACTCCTTTCTTGCCAATTTAACCAAAAATAATCTCAAATTTCTGAAACGTTCAAAATCTTTTTAGGCTATTTGGATAAAACAAAAGGAACATTAGAGTAAAACTCAGTCCTTTACCATGTTTTACAAATCCATGCAATGCGACGATAACTTACCAAATGTTACAGTCAACATTTACTTCTGCACCATCAATGTACATTTTGTCTTCAAGGGAACATTCTATAGGAAGGAAATTGAAAAAAAAATTAATCATCAAGTTATTCAATCAATATACCTCCATGAAACAAAAAGATGCCTTTGATTAAAGTATAACATAAAACTGATGATTACTCATTCTCTGACACAGTTTAAAATATTTTCAAGATTCTTATTGCAAAATATGACTAAACTGAAAACTGATAAACTATTTGTCTTTTGCTACTCTTTACAATAAATATCAAATGCTGTTATTGCAAAAAAAAAAAAAAATCTGACCAACGATTGATATATGAACTTAGTCATATCTTTTAAAAGAATTACTATTTCATTTCATTATCAGGCACATAAGTTTTAGGACATACTTTTGGTAGGGGGGCTGTACACAGGATCCATACACTGGCGGAACTCCTCCAGATCCAACTGCCAGTCGGAATCCTCGTCTGACATGATGATCAGAGCATCAACGCACAAACCCCTAGAAATACAGAAACACAATCTGCGCTGAAGCCAACAACACACCCCTTTGTGTTTTCAAAATCATTGTGTTTTCAATTTCTCATTTGCTTCAATCTGAAATAAAGGGTTTTAGAAGTCTTCTCCAATGACTACAACAAATATTGCGATCATATTGAGCTAAACTTTTGAGCTAAACCCCCGACTCTGTTATAAGTGCACTCACACTTTATTAAATGATAATCTGTCTTCAAATGTGTTAAATACTGTTAGTTCTTCCCTTCTCCATCTCCACACCACTGCCCAGTTTCACAAAATAGTCTTCTTCTTTTTTAGCTAAAACATTTAGTTACAGCTAGTGTAGAAAGCTTTGAAAAGTCAACTAGCTGAGTTTGGTTATTAATTAAAGACTTATAAATTTTTGTGAAATGGGGGGGGGGGGGGAGGCTGTTGTTCTTAACATCTGGGAACCACCTTGCTCCTCACCTGATGATGTGTGCATGGCTTCCACCAGCAGCACCTTTGCCATGGTTACGAACTGTATCGTTTCTCTCCACACATTCAAGGAATTCAACGGCACTCAGCTTGTTGTTTCGGTTTTTATCACATGCATGAAAATTCTCAATGAGGACCTCTGTGTAGTTCTTGCCTAAAATGGAATATTTTAGCTCTATTTATTTCCAAAATGTCAAATAGAGAAAATGGAAGCAGTATCTTTCAGCAACTCATTTAATAATTGGAGATAATTCTATAAGAATAAATTTGAAGAAGTATATTTAAGGAAAAATTAAAGCTTTGAATATAATTTTACTTTACAGTTAATATATTAGTTTTCCCTTTTAAATGTGAATTGAAAAAGTACGTATTTTATTCAAAACAAGAAATAGACACCCAAACATATTTAGACCTTTAATGTTTGAATCCATTTTTCTAGCAGCTTTTGTTTGTATTTGCTCATCTCCTCTCTTTAGAAAAAACTGGATTATTTACTTCCCTGATTGACCTTGGGCATAGCTGCTTAAAATAACAACTTCTAAAAAATTTAACCAATTATTTATTTATTTATTTTTAATAAGTATGTGACTTAATTACCTTTGTAGAACCACCCTTCATCTTCCACTTTAGTTTTAAACCAGTCAATAAGCAGCTGTCTCAGGGAGTCTCTCTCTAACTGGTAACAAACCAGTGGCTTTTCTTCAAGAGAACTCTCATCTTTCTCAGTGGCAGCTTCTTCTTTTACTTTTGCTTGAAAAAACATTAAAAAAACATTAACTAACATTGACTAATACATAACTGTGCATCAGCAGAGGGAACAAAGCCATAAATGATGTATAAATTGCAATCTGACTATTATGTGACTTAAGTGAGATAGACAGAAGTCTCACCTCTTGGGAAAAAAAATCAAGCATGATTTCATGAGATTTTGGAATTTCAGAGATAATGGAAGGCTACCTAGTATTTACAGTACGTGTGTCAATGACTGAAAACTGAATACAGAATTTATCCACATTTGTTTTCAGGCCTACTTGTTAGTTCAGCTGAATTACAATCTATTGAACAACAGCAAAAATTCACCCTGTTTTGTGTCAGTTTTATATTGTTTTCAAAGACAACAGGAGTTTCATCCTTATCGCTGAAATATTGACCCCGCCTCAAACATATCCTCACAAGTTTTCAAATATCCTATGACATTATGGGATGCCAAGGGCCTTATTTTAGGATGACTTCCAATGGACCATGTCAGGTTTAAGTTACTTAGACTTTGAACACCACCTGGTTTCTGAACTTACTTTTACACGCTCCATCATGGTTCTTGGATATTTTGACTCCTTGCACGCATGCAGCACGGTGCATTTCGCAATGGTTTTCATATGTGACGTCGTTTGTTCCACAGACGGGGTGATGGTGTGGTTCGCATGCTTTCTTACACACGCATGTTGGTGAGCCGTCATCAAGCACCGTGCATTCCCGTCCAGCACCGCAGAAAACTGTGGGGCAGACGTTCTTTATTTTTTCACTGTCATCTGCTAAAAATGAAAATGAAAACATAAATTAATATTAAAAGATTAAATAAGAAATGTTAACTGATGGCACATGATAATTCACTGCAAAGAGAACATACAGCTTAGTGGCCATCTTACTACTAAATTAGTAAAATTTACATCTTATACAGCTCAACTTGGGAAAAATTATTAAACAGTAATTTTTTTTTATAATTATTGTACAGCTTGGATAATGACTTTACAAATGATTAATAAATGCTATTCAAACTGAAAGCAAGAGAGAGAGAGAGAGAGAGTTGAAAAGCTGAAGTCCAAAAGACTCCAGTGTACATACACATGTTCTATATCTCAGCACATTACTAACAGGAAAAGCTAATGTTTTTCTATTTCTGTCTTGAGGCACTTTGTATTTTACCTGAGCCCAGATAGTGTTTACCACTGTTATATAATGAACCAATGCCAGAATCATGAATAGGAGTTAGAGTCATTTAACTGTTTACTTAAAACATCAGTAAAAAGTAAGCGCAACAGAGATGAGTGAAGTTGTTTAATACAATAACATGTCTTTTCAAAATGAATGTTAAAACATTTATCATTATGGATAAAAGCCTAGCTGTCTGCATCAAAGTCACAAATCACACTATCTGCTCAATTCCTTGACGTAAGAGTTGCAGAAATCTATTTTCTGCTCTATCATTTATTTCTTTATTCATTTCATCAAAATGCTGATAAAATGATGAAATCAAATGATACAGCCAAATTACCCAGCTAAGCAGAAATTTCATAAAGTAAAATGTTAGCCCTAGCCTATAGTTGTTTAATTGTCAGTCTTGCCTGGATGTTTTTTCTGTTGCCAGAATGACTCACCACAGATGGGCTATTGATTGGCTCAATTTCTAAACAGCCATTTCTCATCTGCTTCAAATGAACAGCCAGGCTATGTAACATTATACCACCGTCATTGTAACCTATTGTCATTATTAATCACGGGGAGAATTATTGGGAAATTTGATTCAAGCTTACATCATTCATCAATGTGGTTATTGATTCTATCTTCTGAGGAATAATAAACCCATATTTCAGTCTACTTTTATGATTTAATGGAAAATATCTTTGAAGTCCAGATACAACCACATGCTGCCATTTTGCTTTTCATGTGTGGCAAAAAAAATAAAGCTATTTTATTCCCTGAAATTTCTGTGATAGACTGATTTGCAACATAACTTGGCTGTGCANATTCAGGGATATACCATGCATAGGCCATGCATTGTTACTCATATGCATAAATGCTTTCAGACTTTGTTGAAGTTTGACTGAGGGCCCATATCACCATTATCTCTAATGCCATTATCAAATGAAACAGAGGTTTTATTTCATTTTGTTAAACATTCTCAGTTGGCTCAAAACTGGAGTGTATAACAGTGCTGCCAAAACTGTTGTAATGAAATGCGTGACATACACTACAAGCACGTACAAAAATGCTACAGCGTATGCCCAACATATGTTTACTTCTCATGAAATTGTCCATTTTGTGGCACCAATAAATACAGAGGCCTGGACTTGTGATGCATACTGTCTCTGGATTTTAATGTTTTATAATTAGGTTTAAGTCTACCACCAGTGCTAGAAAAAAGTTCGACTGATGTGAACAGGTGTTAGTGTACCACTGGTGTCAGGACCAAGATAAATCTGATGTGAACAGGTCTAAGTCTACCACTGATGTCAAGACCAAGTGAAATCTGATGTGAACAGGTTTAAGTCTACCACTGATGTCAGGACCAAGTGAAATATGATGTGAAGAGGTTTAAGTCTACCACTTGTGCCAGGACCAAGTTAAATCTGATGTGAACAGGTATAAGTCTACCACTGGTGCCAGGATCAAGTTAAATCTGATGTGAACAGGTGTAAGTCTACCACTGCAGGAGGTGATTTAATGGACCCCATAACCTGAAATCTAATGTACCATGAACACATACGTTTGTGCCTGCCAAGATTCTATACTGCAACGATGGGCTTCTTAATGAACAAGAAGATGATGGAGTATGGAAAGAAATCAATGGAGCCAATTTATCTCTACTGAAAAAATGTTCCAAGAGACGGGGAGTCAGTTAATCCTAAAATGTTCCATTAGAAGAAACAGCCCTAAAAAGACAAACACTGTCCATATATATTCTGTATGACAGGTGCAATTAAACATAGAATACTTACACTGAGCAATTGGTTACGGTAATTATTCACAAACTTCAGGCACCCCAACCATTCCTATATTTTACTTTCAAGATTAACTTATCGATATATGCCTTTCACATATTTTTAAAAATACTTTTTAAATGATTTTTTTAATACTTTTTAAATACTAATATAACTTTCAAATAATCATTTTCTTTGACTGTGACAAATAGTTTCTGTTCAAATTTAGCGAAATATTACCCCAATTAACTTTTAAAAACTTTGTAAGATGGGACAAATCTATTGATATATGTATGTTTATATGTAATAATCCAGTTTACAACATTTTTCATGAGTCCTAATGAATTCTCATGGGCTCGTTTTTGTTTTTTCACAGATGCCTCACTCATGAAACTCCAGTAATTTTCATTTAAATTACTACTTGAACTAACATGGGAGAGGCCGGGATACATGTGAAAGCATCTTGGAGCAATTTAGAGAGGCAAAGCTGAGAAAGATTGCTTTATAAATGACAGTTCACAAATAGCTGAATCATAAGGATTAGAAGTTTAAACTTCTATGCTGTATAAATAAAAGAATCAATTAAAGCAAATAGAATACCAGGGGATAAATTCGGATAAACTTCACTCAAGTTCTTGTTCAAATACTCCCAAGAGACAGGCTTTACTTCTTTGAAAAAATAGAATAAATACAATATCGGCCATACATGAAGACTGACATCATTTTGAAGGAAATTTAATTGGAGTTAAATATTTAACACGGCAATGAGACAAACATTATTTTGATGTGATTGTCTAATTAATGTTGATCTTTTTTCCACATTGGTCCATAATTGTAAAAACCATTTAGCTGCACTGAAACAGGGGTTAAATGGGGCTTAATTGATTTTTGTCCTTTAATCCTCAGTTACCCCAACCCACCCATACCTCACATCTTCTTCTCAGCGCACGAGCCTGATGTGCACTCTTAGGCTCTATTCCCATAGATTTTAGATCGATCTATCCCTGCGGAGAGTCTCACTAGATTATTTTCAGATAATCCGACTTAAATGTCCATCCCGCCTACTACAAGCTGTAAAAGGGTAATTAACTTTCGTGTCCGCCCGGCTGACAGCTATTTAGCGTGAACCCCCAGGGAGTTAGGTCGATCTAAAGTAGGTCAATCTAATCTATGGAAATGGGTGTTAGGTTCAGTCTACTTAAAACTCTCTTCTTATGGTAATCAGCATACTAGTACCTGCTAAGTTTGGTCTCCTTCAGTATCAAAAACAAAACAGGGTGACTATTTGATGAATGTCAGATACATTACGTCAATTAAAAAAAAACTGTTTGTTTGCCGCTGTCAAATGCTAGAGTCATGCACAAAAACATTGCCTGCCAGTTTTCAACTAAAAATAGCTGGCTCAATCTCTTCCCATCATCTAAAGTTCAGTTGTCATAGCTACCTCAATTACAACACATTTGCAGAAGCTAGAATCAAGTAATACTGCATGATTAGATTACTTTAAAGCCATGTTAGAATGCACATGAACAGCAGTCTCTCTGACAGACTGAGTTTTGATTGGGAAATTCAATGATCACAGTTCATGTCTGATTTATTGCTTGTAGGACATCTTCCGATTAAACCCCTCTAATGAAATGATTGATGAAATTATGCCAGAGAACTATACTGAGGATAACATCTGTGTATTTGGTCCACTGAATTGACCAGCTGAGTATATCACCCCATTTCCATAGATTAGATCGACCTACTTTAGATCGACCTAACTCCCTGGGGGTTCACGCTAAATAGCTGTCAGCCGGGCGGACACGAAAGTTAATTACCTCCTTACAGCTTGTAGTAGGCGGGACGGACATTTAAGTCGGATTATCTGAAAGTAATCTAGTGAGACTCCCCGCGGGGATAAATGGATCTAAAATCTATGGGAATAGAGCCTATGGGTGTATTCCCGGAGATTTAGATCGATCCAGAGATTAAGATTTAGATCGACCTAAATCCCTGGGGGTTCACGCTAAATTGCAGTCAGCAGAGCATGCACCATAGTTAATTACCCCCTTACAGCTTTTAGTAAGCGGGGTAGACGCTTAAGTCAGCTAAGCTGACAGTAATCTGATGAGACTCCCCACAGGGATAGATCGATTTAAAATCTATGGTTTTGGGGTCTATGGTAATCCCGCACGAAAACGAAGTAGATACTCCGGCGCAGTAGACTACTGCAATTATACTGCAAACATGCTTCAAATCTGCTTCGATGTGGGAGCTAATTAGCATATTTGAAACATGCTTCCATCATGCTGCTAATCTACTGCATTAATGCTCCTCCTCTGTACAACCCTATGTAAATTTTGAAGTAGAATTGCAGTAGGCTATACTGCATTTCTGCTGCAAATATGCTCCACACCACTACTGCGTTAATGCTTCTTTGCTACTTCGATACTACTGCATTTTTGTGCGGGAATGTCTGTATGTTTGTATATCTTTTTCTAAATAAGAAAGATATGTCTTGATCAGTAGTCAGTTAGAGACACTAGGAGTTCAAACACATTATTTCACGCAGAGTCCACAGTATGAGGTAAAGGAATCAACTTCTAACTGATTGCCATGAACATTCAAATAAAGGTAATTAAGTAACAAGTCCTAATGGCAGTTTATTGGTGGGCAGGACATTGGGAAGGGGGGGGGGTCGGGGGGGGTACAGCTGAAGGCATCACTGAGCCACTTTTTACCCCTCACAGTCTCTTACTACCAATGATGAACAGACACTGTGGTTTACTGATAGTTATAAGTTGGGAAAACTTAAAATATGTTAGTACAGGGGTGGATGGAAGCCGTCTTCTCGTTCTTTCAGAAGACGGTCAAAATTTCGGAATTTTTCAAGTTAATATTGACCAGCAAATTTTTTTTTTTTTTTTTTTTTGTTCGAAGATGGTCAAAAATGGAAGATGAATCAACAAAGATGATTTGGAAGACTGTCAGCCCTGCATCGTTATTGTGAGATTGGGTGGTGGGTTGTGGGGGAAATTGTAAGAAAAAGGGGAAGCAACATATACAGTCAATCTGTAAAAATTCAGTGGAAGCAATGGTAATGGTCATAATTCTAGCTGTCTGGTAGTTAGAGATCCCCCAATGTGCAGTCCTTGAACTTACCATTTGTACTGGCTTCTGTTGAGGAAAAAGTTGTTCCCTGAAAGTAGAAGAACCAAATGATGAACAGTAGTAGCTTCAGATATTGTTTATATCCAATTTGTTTTTAATTTTTAATAATCTGCTTTCATTCTCTCATAACATTTTCATTTCATTAAAAATAATTAACATATTATACTTTTTCATCTAAAATATTTTTTGTGTTGTGTTTTGTACAAAATATATCACTTTTTAATTTTAAATATTTTATGTGTTGTGTATTATTAACAGTATATATATCATATCAAGATATCATCAAGTCATATCACATCTGACAACTCTTCCAGTGCAAATGTTAGCATGTTCTCAACAATGGGAAATTATTCTTCCTTAACATATGTGTATCAGATCAATATAATACAACTGGAGTAATGCAGTGTTTGAACATCAATATTTCTTTACATTAAATTCATCATTACCTCATAACATAAACAGACTTATCCCAATAAAAAAGATACCATGTCTAGTCCTTGATTTATGATTGGCAAGGGGAAAAACACCTCAAGTTCTTACACCTGGTTTGAATTTAGGCCAATTTTCACAGAGACCATAACACTCAGAATTAAGCCAGATCCACTCGATCCCTGCTGTTGTAGATAAAACTGTTTATAGAAATGTATCACCCCAGGAGGAAGTATACTTGATTGCAATTAACAGTCTGGGGACCATACTGCACAGCCTTGATAAATTAAAACCCATCCACCAACTGACTCAGGCTGTATATGCTTAATTAGCTTGCTGAATTATTTTGGAGATCACAGGAAAACTTCAACTTAGGTAAGTTTCGTTCAATTTATCAATTATCTTGGGGATCAAGAAGCATGCTGAAAATGATTCGTACCATCTTCTTCCTCTGGAGTGTCTGGCACATTGTGCTGGCTGTTGCAAAGATCTATTAGATGCTGACAGCCATTATGTCAAAAACCTAGCTTTGTTTATAAAGCTGGATCAAATATTTTAGTTTTGCTGGGTTTAAAAAAAGCATTGTAGTTGTAATGAAATTTAAGGAGACATGCCTATTAAGAGGCCAAGTATTTTTTTTTTTAGGTAAGCGCCATTTCATTGCACTCAGCTAGTTTCAGAATCCATGAAATGCTACTCTTCACAGCCTACAGGTGTATGTTAGCCATTTTTTATTTGCAAACTGGGAATTGCATTTGTTCTACGACTGAACTTAATCTGGTACATTATATTCTAAAGGACTATATGGAGGGTTCGCATGGATTTTACTTAAACTATTTTTTTTAAATGGCTTCAGGTATCATATCATTTCAATGCATTAACCAACACCCCTGTAATGCAAATGATATTTCTAAGGCTCTCAGAGATGAGCTGTTCCAACTTGGTTGTCACGAACGGAGTTTAAGGGCGCATTCCCATAGATTTTAGATTGATCTATCCCCGTGGGGAGTCTCATTAGATTACTGTCAGATAATCTGGCTTAAATGTCCGTCCAGTCTACTACAAGCTGTAAGGAGGTAATTAACTTTCGTACCCGCTTGGCTGACAGCTATTTAGCGTGAACCCCCAGGGAGTTGGGTCGATCTAGTTGGATCAATCTAATCTCTGGGAATGGGGTCTTAGACTATTTCCAGTTCTAGTTAATACCACTGTAAACACGACTTAACAAAATGTACTTTGCAGCAATGACTAGAGAAACACATAATGTGCTCCTGTGGTAAAATTTGTTTGACTAACAGTTCCCAGAAGTGATAGACCTACAGGCCTTGTAAATAAGTGTGTTCTAAATCAATATTTCTGGCTTCCTCATATATATTTGTCGAGACTTGTCTGTGATGAGTAACAATTACCTGCACTGCTTCAGTGATTAAAGTCACTCGTTTCCAGGACTTTTGTGTTTGATTTCTGCAAGTCATGCATTGCTTATATTCAAATATATTGAGTTTAAACCTAGGTGTGATAAATTTGTATTTTAAAATGAACTCTGTCTGGTAACTGTGAGGATAAAGTAGACCACTACATCGCATTTATAGATCACAACTGCTTGTGACTTTTTCGACACTTTTTTAAAAACAGAATATGATGTCAACTACAGCAAATAAAGAAATGCAATCTTTTTTTTCATTTTCAACAGAGCTTTTGAACTTATGTTAATTAATCTCCACATTCAAACATAACTGATTAATGACATAACCCAAAACAGCGTTTTGATACTTAGTAATATCTGAAAAAGCTTGGTCATGTCAGAAAGTATAGATTTCCCAGTTACTAGATAAAGTAAAATTTTGAAAATTTATGAAATACTGGAATTGCTGAAAATCATGTCTGAAAATTCAGAGGAGTTACCATAAAAAATGGCAGGAACATATCATTTCAGCCAATTTAGAGTCTGATAACTACACACAGTTGTGCAAACAAACCTTTTGTTCTTCCCCCACAGGGCTTTTGTTTTGAAATACCACTGGAAGGAAGAATGATGAAAGAAAGGCCTAAATGTCTAAACAAAAACAACTTACACTTTGTTCTTAAACTTTGTTATACATTTCTTGTTTGTGAAACTGCATGAGCACTATTCTTGTTCAAATTTGTGTACATGTACAATGTTTCTGGTTTTTGGTTAGTATTTTTGTTAATTTCATTTACTTTTTATTTTACTTATTCTTTTTTATGTGTAGTTGTACTGTCAGTGAAAAATCTTACAGATATTTTATCCATATATATGCTTCGATCAATATTACTTTTAAATATTTTTAAAATATTTCTTGTTGTCATTTGTTGCAGTTTCTCACTACTAAATTTAACATTACCTGTTGTTATTGATAGAATTTTCCAATCTTGCGATTAAATTAATTTTTTTCAGTGACAAATTTTTTTAGGGTTGGGGGGGGGGGATTGGCATACCTGTGAATGTCCATTCAAAAGCCTAGTGTCACGTGTAACCAGTCTTCAGATGGACATCGTATGTCTGTATAACCAGTGTCCAGCATATCCAGTTTGTCTAGACTTCATGCATCACTGAGGACATATTTAACAGTAAAGTGGACAAATTGCTGTTTACATTAAAAAGTAAGCAAGATAGGGTGCTGACTATAGTTTTGTATTTGCTGCCTAAAAAAGATGGATGACTTTTTCTCCTCTAGCTATTTGTCATTCTGAACCAGTCAGTGATGTTACAAATTGCTTTTAAATACATCCACTCCCAAGTAGACAGTGTTACAGTTTATACAAACAGAAAGGATGGATAGGCAACTTATATATATATACTAGCCAATGGCTAAAATCTGAAATTTAAAAAAAAGTCAAGGCAAAAAAAGAGGCAATTCCCAGGGGGTAGCTTATTTGGTATCCATTTTAAACATACAGACAAAACAATTGATAACATTTTCTTCCGATGCGCAGCCCAATTACAACAACAGGGGTTGGGTGGAAGTGGGGTAGAGTACATGAAATTAATTAATTTTGAGGCATCATTATAAGCAAATCCTCTGCTGAGATGGTATTAATATCTAGTAAGGGAGTCTCCAGTAAGCCCAGTAAACTGAAGGTACACCTTTGGTAAATGGACTCTCTAGTTTACATTTCAACACACTTATCTCATTAGGAAAGAAACACTAAGGCAATTTGCTATGGAACCGCACCATCCATCTGGTTAAGGTCAGAAAGTGCAACCTGCATAGCATAGGCAGTTGAAAGCACAGAGGTTCTTCAGGGGTAGTATAGAGAATTCATCCCAAATAGTTTCAGATGCATGGGAAGTGGAATATATATATATATATATATATATATATATATATATATATGTATATATATATATATTTTTTTTTTTTTGGTTGTTGTTGTTGTTGTTGTTGTTGTTTTTCTTTTTTACTGGACCTCTTACACCCCCCTCTCCAAATCTGACCTCGTCCACTGCAAATGGGTGAAAAGTTGGGCATGTATTTCACAAGTCACTTGATTTTTGAGTTTATATTGCTTTTGTCTATTTATCAAAAAACACGCTAGTGAAGTTAGAACAACCTATAAATGCTCCATATTTTAGTAATTCCCACACATTCTGTCTAAACAAAAGCCTCATTTAAATGTGAATCATTTAAATGTGTCCATTTATCATCTAAAAACCCTTCATTTAAAATTGATAATGCCTTGAGAAAATTTTGTCAGGTTAACTGGCATAATGCCATCTTTTTGTTGTCCCTTCTATTTTTGCCTAATTACATACACTGTGAAGCACTGAAATGATTTATATTTACATCATGCAAAGTTCCTCTAAATTTAGACACAGAAGAGCTAGGTGTGCAATTCTCTTACTTCACACTATTTTGTAACCTATTCTAGTTGCTATTGGCACAGTACACAGACACCAAAGACATCAGTCTATCTTGAAATGTTATGTGGACTTATTTCATAATTCAGGAGTTTAATTTTCATTCCCACAAAAGGTAAGACTTTACATATATTTACTCGAAGGTTCAATTTACAATAAGTAACATAAGACAACTCCTTAAGTGAGGGGGTTAGTATTTGTTTGGTTATTTACACAATATTTATATTCCAAATAATGAAACAGAATACCATTCACTTTGTTGTAGTGATGTAGATATGGCATATCTACTACGTCAAACCACCCCGTGAGTCATGGGGCTATTAGCCACTCTGTCACTAGCCCAACATTCAAAATAATGCTGATCCATTGGAAAAGTCACACTGAAGGGATGTGACTTTCAGGGTATGTCATTTTGGCCAGAAAATGTGGCCTGCACGGAAGATGAAGATCATACTGGGGGTTATTGTGCCAAGTACCCACTTAAAAATCACGCCACCCAGATCAGACCACCGCGACTCTAATGATTACACCCATGAAATTTACACATGACAGATTAACAGGAATCTTAATATCACCTTGCCTGTCTGACATGCTAATCTGGATCAAAATATTTGCTTTTTAATGAAAATAACTTTCTCATCAAAAGATGATAATGTTTAGGGGTAGGGGAGTATTTTATGCTTCTGAATATTGTTTTCACTAAACCAAGGTGAGGGTTATTACCCCATATATATGTTTGAAATAAAAATAAATATTATGGTTCTTTGGATCTTTTGATTTTTGCACACCTATATCTCTCTGGCTGTATTCCCAGAGCTTTTAGATCGATCTATCCCCGCGGGGAGTCTCACTAGATTACTGTCAGATAATCCGGCTTAAATGTCCGTCCTGCCTACTACAAGCTATAAGGGGGTAAATAACTTTCGTGTCCGCCCGGCTGACAGCTATGTAGCATGAACCCCCAGGGAGTTAGGTCGATCTAAAGTAGATCGATCTAATCTCTGGAAATGGGGTCTCTCTCTCTCTCTCTCTCTCACACACACATACACACACACACATCTACTTATCCCTAATCTAACTCTGACCACTAGTCTCATGACACGTGAGGCACCATAACAAATGACCTGAACTGAGCCAGACTGGGCAGTGTCCAGCTTCCTCTCCCCACCCAGTCACCTATTTACCTAACACATTCCCAACTTCAAAAGTTCTGACCCCTATTTCAACTCATTTACACAAACTTAGGGGCATGCAAAACACATTCTGCCCGACTGTGATTGATATTAATTCAGCATGCAATAGCCGGTGTTGTTGGGAATTTAGCTTTGTTTTTCATGCAATAGTTGATTAACTTAACCCACCTCAAATTTTCAGACCAGTATGCTGCTGGGCATTTGGATGTGCACATAAAATTATTAAAATTGACAAGTCTTTAGAAAGTGAAATAAAGTTTTCTTATGCATTTTAGAATAGATGTATGACAACATCCAAGTCAAAATTAGGGAGTGGAATGTCAAAAGGTAAATTAAAGGGGAGCATCACTTTATGAGGCCTTAAATGAATAAAGTGATAATTTCTCGTCACTTGCAGACATTTTCTGCCTAAACAAAAGAAGCGAGGGATTCGTTGATACCAGAGTAGATCTAAACTCACAGCAGAGCATACTGTACACCAGTGACATATCTGATGTACATGTGATACACAAATAATTACGAATAGTAGGCAGAGATCTACACTTGAACTGTCAGCAATTCTTGGCTGATAACCCCCCCACTTCTTTCATTAGCCCCGAAGCGCTCAAAATATTCAGACAATAACTGCATCAATTGAAATGACTAAAAATTATCATTTTATGTTTTTTTTCTTTTTTTGTCCCAGGAAGAGATGAGATATCCTCCTTTAAAGATAAAAGGTAACAAAAATGAATGAGACAAAAATGAAAACAAATTATACCCCACGTGGCTGTTTACTACGCACAACAATAGAGTAATAAATGACTTCCTTCTAAGATCTGGTCATAGACAACCACAAGAATTTGACTTATGTCTCTAAGTGCAGTAGAAATCTCTGTTCACTCAAGTTCCTGTTTAGACCAATTTTTACTCTGACTTACACCCCATTTCCATAGATTAGATCGACCTACTTTAGATCGACCTAACTCCCTGGGGGTTCACGCTAAATAGCTGTCAGCCGGGCGGACACGAAAGTTAATTACCCTCTTATTGCTTGTAGCTGGCGGGACGGACATTTAAGTCGGATTATCTGAAAGTAATCTAGTGAGACTCCCCGCGTGGATAGATCAATCTAAAATCTATGGGAATAGAGCCTTAAACCCTGTTCCCATACCTAGATCCATCTAGCAGGATCGACCCATCTGCGAGGGGTTTCTCGCTTAATTGCAATCAGCATAAGTGGCTCTGATGTCTGGCACACCTAATAAGCTGAATGTAATTTAGCAAGAATCCCCTCGGAGATGGGTCAATCCTGCTAGATCGATCTAGGTATATGAATGAGGTCATAGTCGTTATAGTAATAGTATAGTATAGTTATTACTCCAAACAGTCAATCCCATCTTTATGTGGAATACAAAAGTAGTGAATGATATAATGCTGCCTAGATACCTGTTAGACTATATATAAACTACCAGTGCCATTTGGACCAATTAAGACAGGTAATCTTTTGCCTAGTGTGAACAGGCACAAAAGGCAAAACCAAGAAATATCAACTTTAGTCCATGACTACCTTGGGCTTGAAATTAGACGTACTCTTTTCCATCATGAAAAATTACACCCCATTTCCATAGATTTTTAGATTGATCTATCCCTGTGGGGAGTCTCACTAGATTACTGTCAGCTTGGCCGGCTTAAGCGTCTGTCCCGCCTACTAAACGCTGTAAGGGGGTAATTAACTATGGTGCCCACTCGGCTGACTGCAATTTAGCGTGAACCCCCAGGGAGTTAGGTCGATCTAAATCTTAATCTTTAGATAGATCTAAATCTCTGGGAAAGCACCCTTAGTCTAATTTTCAGTCTAAATTAGGTCTCATGTGAACACGCCAAAATACTGATACACTGTACACAGTATCCTCAGTAATGCATGTTTTCAATATATACATGTTGTTCACATTGTATAAGCATGCAGACTGATAAGTTAAATGTGTCTTGTTTTTCTATGTTGTTTTCACACAGCTAGCTCAAATATATAACCAAACACAGATCCATGCAGAGTTGATGGTATTCATAATATTGGACAAAGACTGAAACTTTTTTATGCAAAGAGAGAATAAAGAAACAGATATAGATGAATGGAAGTGCAGAAATGGAGATATTAACATTCAAATAACAGCAATGCCGTTAGAATGTTTTCATTTTTTTTTTTTTCAAAATCAAAATCAACTCATCTTCCACTCTTAATTCAAAAAGCTATTTCTTCAGTTTTATTTTTATAATAAAATCAAAATCAAATCACCATTCATATTTAACCAATATAACACTTAAAGAGGCAAGTCGAAACCCATTTCAAAAAGAAAAATAACAATTATCTGTAGATACAGGTAATTAAATAAGACACTCCTTTTGTCCTTTTGTGGAGCAACCTTAGACTACCTTTTCAACGGACGTCTTTCTTTACTTTAAAAGAATTAGGACGGGTTTTAAAAGCCTAGATTTAACCAAAACTACAAAAATACAGGCTAGCCATAGCACATTAAAAACTGAGTAACATTAGAGGGGCGTGGGTATTACGTAACGCTTACTCGCACACGCCGTCCCGTAGTAAAACGTAAACATTGAGAGCAGCGACAACATGTACAGAATCCCTTATCATCTTTTCCAAATATAAAAAAGAGATCAAGTCCATCTTTAACCAATCAGTCAGGATTGTCCGACCTCCCTCGACAAATATGCCTATCATAAAAACACGTGAATTGATCTAATGTTACGTGGGATACGTACCAAGGCAGAGGTTTGCGCTGATGCCAGCAAACCCAAAGTCAGCAGTAGCACGGCGGTTCGGAAACCCTGAAAATTAACCAGTTTGTCATTGATGAAATCAAAAATAAATCTCGGAAGTCCATTGTTCACCATAAACGTATACAATGACATTCAAAAATCCAATCAAATGTGTGGAGATTGTAAGAAAATAGCCAATATCTCACCATTGTTGATGATGGCCCGTCTTCGCCTCTCTGCCGTCTTAGAAGAAGTAATGTTACGGCTCTTCCGACGGTCGTTAGTACTCCCCCCGGAATGACGGGATAAAACTGCGTTGAATTTTCGAAGATAGCCTGGAGCGTTGGTGATAAGTTTGGATTCTCGGAAGAAAATCAATAACAAAAAAAAATCAACCTAGGATTATTTGCCTGCGAGGATATATTTATTGCGTACCAAAACTTTTTCTTGGGTGTTTACTAAAAAAATGAATTAATAAATCAACAAGGTCGAAGGCGGTAACTAATACTAGCATTGCACGCAGCATCCCTATAAGTCGGGGTCACTATCTATTCCCTGTAATCTTGTTTTAAAGCCACTATAAACTTCCTTAAATTTTAATCTTTTCTTGGTTTGCTAGAAAGAAAATTAAAATATAGCCACTGGTCTTACAAATGAAAATATATAAAAACAGGGAGTGGCCGATTTATATTCGAACACCACAGATATCCATAAACAGTTTCACAATTTCTGTCAGTGGTCGTGCTAGAATTTTAAAGCTATTTTTGTCTATTCCGAAGGTATTTGTTTGGAGCTAGGAATCAACATAACGTTATGCTGAATCCTAGTGTGGGTCAAGCTTTTTTTCGCCTGGGTTAAAAAAACGCAAATTAATTAATACGTTCGGAATTTCAGATCGACCTGCTGCAGGTGTTATAAACTGAATGTGAAGCTAGTGAAAAGATCGTTTCTGAGAATGCATAGTTTATTAAACTTTAAAAAGTTAGAAGAACGTTTAATAGAACATGAGTATAAAATGTCAGAAAATAAGACGCTGCTTAAAAATAAGATTAAAAGCAATCTCTCGCTCAATATGAATGTTAAAAAGGTAGCAATTTAATACAGAAATGTGAAACCTTCAAGGACCATGACATGTCAAATGATTGTCGTATCATAGACACAACATCCACTGTCTTACTCGTCTTTCCTTCTGCAAAACGCTTGTTTATCGATAGACTGCTGTTTTCTCTTAAAGTATTCTTGACTTATTTTCAAACGATTCAAATTTCATAAAATAACCATCGTAAATTTTAAATTTTCTTTATTTTCTTACTTTGTTGTCGTCTGTCACCCTCAATTTAAGACCTGTATGGAAAAAGAAAAGTACAAAGAAAATGTAAAGGACAAATACTTCAAGGTCTGCCGCCCATGTCACGTAAGTCACGTACGTCACCGTGCTCACATTTGATCTCGTACATGTGATGTAGATTGTTATGGCTGGCTTGATACTTCGTCTCTATTGTTGAATGTTCCATGCGGGGGACAGTCTGGACCAAACAGGTATTTGTCTGTTGTTATTATTTTTTCTGCACCTTACCCCACAATTGCCATTCGAACCTGGAATCTAAGATTGTCCGCATTGCAAATTCGTATGAGTAATTCATCCATTTCTCTCTCTCTCTCTCTCTCTCTCTCTCTCTCTCTCTCTCTCTCTCT